CTACTTCTGTCAATTCTGCCTAAGTCACATTACAATCATTTTACCTTGGATGATTCATTATGCATAGTTTAAAACACGAGAGAGTGTTTTAGACGGCTTAAAAAACTCCAACACTGATTTGAAACTAAAATCCGTTAAAATTCTTGGAGAAATTGCCGTACAAATATGTTCAGAGATAAATGGGGCAAACTGATCATGCGCAAATCACTTTACAAAGCACCCTTGTCATCCCACATTGAATACGCTTGAAGTAAAATAGAACCGCTCTTGGCTGTTCACTGAAATCGGTTGACATCCTGCATTGGTCAATGATCAGGTTTCAAACCTGAGACCTTTGCTAGGGTCATGGACCTTTATATCTGATAAAGGTCACACCCTTATTAGTATTCTTTATATAAAGAATACTAAATATAAAGGTCCATGCATGTGACCAAATATGCTCATTCTATTGGCCTAGTTGCTCATTAATTATGTATGAGTTTTTAAGGTATTATTAAGATATCAAAATTCATGTAGTGTTAGGTCCGACTATGAGGACTGCATGGGATTTCTAGTCAAATTCCCGAATGGTTCTGAAACAAAAGCTACTCATGACAAATTGTCTTTGTCTTTCTCTTTCTTTATTCAAGGCAATTTTAATGTGCCTAATTCATAAGATTTATAAGAATGTCATCTTCCAAGGAATCACATCAGAAACTCTGTACTATAAGACGGTACATATATACTGGCCAGTTGGGGATCGATTCGTGAGGCAGTCATGTCATTTTTCACTACTAAATAAATTCTATCCAATGCTTTTATTATTATTAGCTAGTAGTAGTTAGAAAAAGGTAGAAGTAACTGGAAACAAGGTAGGAGTATCTGGTTTTCCAGTTACTGCATACTTAGTACAAATTACAATCAGGGATTGGCTGGATACCTCGCGAATAATTAATGAGTATGAGAAATATTTTTAATACATTAATGTACTTTCCCTATTACATGAAGGTCCTTAATATTTCAATCTGATAAAAAAAATATGAAAGGAATGGTCATGTAAAGGTCTCGAGTATATATCCTATACCATCAAATATCATGTTTAGGGCATGTGTTCTGATACATGATTAAATGTAATGCTACAACAAGACTTTTACTAATATAAAAAGCTGTMTTGTGAATAATTACCGACCGTGTTTCATACTTGACTTGAGAGAACATTTTCCACACCGTTTAGACTTGTTAGCACATCAAAGTAGCACAACACAGAAACCTACAAAAAATTCATATAATGTCAATGCAATTGGCATCTTAAAATTAACCATTGACCATTCAGAAATACATAGCACATTATATTTTGGCATCCCACATCATATGCACATGAAGTAATGTACTATGGTATGTTTGTAAAATGTGAAAGTTGCATCCAGGATCCAGAAATAAATTAAAACTGTTTTTGTACTAGACGTTTAAGTCTGAACATGGACATTCATCAGTTTACAAACTATAGTTTAGTAATGTTTGTTGATTGACTGCTAGGATCATAGTATCAGCTATAATATCTGATAATGGTAGAGTGCACGTCACATAAGCATGAAACAATTCTTAATATGTATTGCTAAATAAGATTTAGTTATCAACTAACTAAGAATTCAACAAAGCATAAACACAATGCCACCTGATTATTTAAATTCCTTTGTAGCATTGTTCTCAATTCTTAGTTAGTTGATAACTAATTCTTATTTAGCACTACATAGTTAAGAATTGTTTCATGCTTATGTGACTTGCACTCTATTATTAGTATGTTTCTTTATCAGATATAAGACTTAATGGTTAACTCATGTGACCACATAGGCTTAATATCAAATTGGCCTATATAGCTCAATATCACATTCTGTATTCCAGTTCACCTAATGGTTTGTCATCTGATATGTGGACACAACTTACTTTTGTTGGTCTTCTTCTACTATTCAAGCTAAAACATCACACTGTCTAATTATAAAGCAGCAGGAAACAAAAATAAGTAAAGCATGTAAGGTTACAAGACAAAAATAAGCACATCACTCACCTTTTCGTTTGCATTTTCCACATTGAGTTGGAAATTTTCTCATTAAATTTTAAGAATCCACTTTTTCTAACGACATTCGAGTAAAAATCGCTGCTAATACAGACGAACGGACGTGACATTGCGGTCGCCATCTTGAATTTGAGATAATTTAAAGCCTCGCTATCGAGTTGTTGCATATATTTACATGATTTAAAATAAAACTAGACCCTGTATGCAGGGTTTACACGTGCCCTTTTGTTTTGTACGTGATATTGTAATATTCAATAGTATTGAGGCCAATTCATCATGAYTCATTCATGTAATTTTATGAGTTGTTTTTGCGAGTTACATCTTAACCAGGGTTCGTACAGATTTTTACATATAAAATTCAAGGACTTTTTAAGGACTTTTTAAGGATTAATTTTCAGTTTTCAAGGATACCAATTACAAGGAGAAAGATACAGTTAATAAACTTACTAGTCCTGTGTATTACCAAACAGAACAATAAAAACATTGTAGTTTAAGAACTTTTAAATCTATTGGAACATATTTTTCTCAATCTCTATTAATTTCTTTTCCGCCGGATTGCACAATAGTACAACAGACATTGCCAAAAGGATTGAAATATTATCAATTTGTTTCAAAGCTTGGCAAAATTGATCTCTAAAACATTACTTCACAACAACCAAGACTGATTCAAGGACTAAATTTACATGAAACTTCACCAAATCATTGTAAAGATGAAATATTCAAGAAACCAAGTTTATTTTTCAAGAGATATTATTCAAAGCCGGCACAAAAACTAATGTACAACTGCACTCAGAGCCACTTATTTAGCATGTAACATTGGCTAACACATAAAGTGCTTGTCTATCGATAATAATATACCACTGTAAAACTCAACTGTATGTACTTCTGCCATAGTAAACAAGGCTCACAGGATCAACAATGACTTGTTGTCAGTTCCCTACTTGCTTCGACACTGATATTTTATCTACGGAAACAACTCAACTATTGACATTTTTTGCATATGACCTTAAATC